AAGTGTTTATAAACCACAGAGGAAAATTCCCAACCTCTTAAATTGCATAGCTTTCTCTTTTGAGGACAGAGACATAATGCAGCCTACAGGAAAGTATTAACACTTGGGGATCAGATCTGGGTTCAGACTCCAGTTCTCTGCTTATTAGCCATATGGTCTTAGATATATTACATAACTTCTTGAAACTCGGTTTTCTCATCTGAAAATGGTGATATTATTATCTATCTCAAAGGACTGTTGTGCTATTATTTTGCATATAATATAACTAAATACTGTGCCTGACAAAGAGTAGGCATCCAAGAAATGAGAGTTTAATTGTTAGGATTACTCCAAGAATACATGATTTGCGATATTATTGGAAAAAATTATTTAGTTAAAACATTTTTTTGGTAATTAACATCTAAACAGTTCTTTTTTTTACATTTCTCTAAAAGCTCAAATAAATTTAAAAATAAATATAATGAGCAGAATTAGATCTAGCTCTATAATCTAATTATAGAAATACTTCATTTAGCAATCAACGCTAAACTGAAAAGCAAGAGAAGGATACTGAGCAGTATGCATTTTGTTTTTATAAATATTACTAAATTTTATGAGTTCAACAGAGAAGGGCAACCTCCCCAATTTCATAATGTAAGCACAAATTAATCCTAAATGCTAATCAATCTGTTCACCTAGGAATGGAACTAGTCTTNGTAAGCACAAATTAATCCTAAATGCTAATCAATCTGTTCACCTAGGAATGGAACTAGTCTTCATAGAAGATCAAAGATGCCATGGAGTTTTTAGTAAAACCTTTCATTGTATTCATATGTTAAAACATTCCTCTTACACAACACATCAGAGAGAGCACAGCTCACTTTATGTGAAGATCTAATTTTGTAATAACCTGTTACCATTTACCAACTTGTTCATTTTAGAATATACTTCAAAATTCTGAAGTAATTATTATAAAAAACCATAGATAATTAGGCAGGAATAAAATGACAAAATAACTTGTTATTACCTTAAACATTATAGACATCAGGTAAAAAGAAACAGGACAAGGAAGTTCAAATACTGTTAAATTAAACTTTCTTCTCTGTATCATTTTATAAATAAGACAGATTAGATTTGAATCAGTAAAGAGTAT